GCGATTCCAAATTTGCATTGAAGATGCGGCCGGGCGGACTCGTGAGGGTGTACGACGGGGCTCTCGTGACGGGGGTAAGTGCGGCAGCTTTTTTCCTTCTCGCTCTATAATTAGAGGAACAATAACTGGATTACCCGTTTACTGGTTTAACAGTCACTAGCAAAAAACGATTCAATACTTCTTTTTTGAGCAACGAAATATTTTGAGGGCAAGAAATTGTACTCTAGAGAAAAGAGAAATAGATCGAAAAGGATTTAGATTAGTGAGTTAATACATAGAAATGAAATCCAATATTTAGCAGTGCAATCGTACTGATGGAGATTTCAACTCTTATTTGGTTTATTTATCGTGTAATATTGTAAACACGAAGCCTAGATAATTAATATATAATACAGTTCTATTCAACCGATATCAGTAATTTCAAGAGGTTAATCATCAATTATTATTGCAGTCACAGTACAAGAGCTTGCTTGTGAGTGAAAGAACAACATGCGATGAATTGATCCGCCTCGTGCTGCTCTGCAACAACATCAATGACAATGTTAACAATTATTCCATATATGAGGTAAGTTTGCATAATCCATGAGTTTTCATACAACGTATTTTGGAAATCTTGCATGTTATAATTGAAATTATAAACACTTGCAAACTTTCTTTAACGGATTTTTCTTGTTCTTCAGTGTTTCTGGTTACTGTTAATCCTTAATTATTTTTGGCATATGCTTTAAATTTTCGTCTGTCTGCGACGAAATGGGAACCCGAGTTTCACAGTCCTAAAAGGAAAATCTTACATTTTTCTTTTGTTCTTGTTGAATAATTAATGAATTAATCTTCCAGGTAAGGAAAACGGACGGGCGAGAACGGAAACTTCATCAAGACGAGAGGCCTCTGCGACTCACGTCCCGCTGGGCGACGCGGGACCACGCGCGCTTGGTTGTCCGCCACTCCCCCTCCCCCGCGCCCTCGCACGCGCATATAACTCCCCTCGCAACGCTGAGGTAATAGAGTAACTCTTTGTATATCATAGTCATGCGGATATCATTTGTTTCAAAAGCGTTATGTATGTATGTATCTATATATCTGTATATATATATATATATATATATATATATATATATATATATATATATATATATATATATATATATATATGTATATGTATATGTATATGTATATGTATATGTATATGTATATGTATATGTATATGTATATGTATATGTATATGTATATATATATATATATATATATATATATATATATATATATATATATATATATATATATATATATATATATATATATATATGTATGTATATGTATGCACACATGTATATGTATTCATCTCATACATACATGCTTTCATTTGTACCTAGTTTGGGAAAAAAAAGCATTTGATGTAGGAAAAGCTTGAAACAGCAAATTCTGGGCTTAGAGAGTAGTGAGGGTTATCTCTGCCTGATTGTCATTTTAGGAATTATAGTTATTTGTTGTTGTTTTTCTAGAGGGGTTGATTCTGCTTAAGTATATAGTATAGGCAGGGATTTTTGTACCTAAATTTGTATTGTCTTGTGGTCTACATTATTCTGATGTGGCTATTAAATCTTGTAAAAAAAAAGTTTCTGGTGAAGTTTAATTTTTGACATACTACATCTATTCTAACAGGGCTTCACTGGGTCGTGCTTCGATGAAGAAAATCAATTCTCGTATACGAGCTGAGGGTAGCAGATCCACCTCTCCACCCCCCTCAAAATCCACCACACCCAGTTGCTCCTTGGAGGATTCCACAAATGATGACACAAAGACCGACAACATCACACCCTCCACTACCATTACAATATCACCAAATGGGGCTTCCACTGTTACTATCAATACTCCCTCTGTCAATAATAATATAAACAATAATAATGTGAGCAATACCCCATGCAACAATGAGACCCTTGAAGAGGAGGAGGAGTGTCCCACACCACCCCTCCGCTCATCCCATCCAGTCCCACCACTAAGGGGGGCAGTACGACGACAAGTAAGCAGTGTTTAGTACATCTTTTCTTATTGCAATTAATAATATTAAGTGTGAAATTAATAGTGATATATTTTTTTTAAGCAAAGCTTCTTGTTTTTATGTTATAGGTTGATGTTGAAATCTGTGCCACCTTATATTGTTTCACTGCTATACTTCTAAATGTTGGCATTTACTTTTAGCTGCCCTGGAGCCAGAGTGTGGAGTTAGTTGAGACTCCAGTTGATGATGAAGAGGAAGATGACGACATACATGCTCATGCAAGAACGCGCCGAGCTCACTCTTACAATGACTATGAGAACTATTTCTATATTTAGTCTTTTCTTAAGTCACTATGGAAACTGAAGTTTCTTTGTTAGTCAAAAGTAGAGAAGTTACAGAAACAGCCATAATTTTGCTACTATATATCCTTATGGAAGCTGATTGAATCAAACTCATTTGAATTGTAATGGATGTGTAATGAAAGGTCTGAGTGATGATTTA